GTGCCCTCCCCGCAGCCCCGTGCCTGCAGACAGAGCGTGGTGATTCGGGTGGCCTCCGCAGAGCCCCCATCTAAAAGCCACCCCGCTCCACCGGGCTAGCTCAGCGCACAGACACACGCTCGCTTGCCTTTATTTAAACACAGGAAGCTTAAAATGCAAACACGGCTCCCAGCTGAACGAAGCCACCGGCTGGGGACGGGGGTCTGTGCAGCATGGAAGCTGTCACGGCACGCTACGTCTGCCAGCCCCTGAGCGGGTTTAAACCCCGTGGGGACCCGGTGCCTCACGGAGCTGGGTGCCAGCTCATGCAAGATGCGGACATTGATGCCAAAGCCCTGAACTTGCCTTGCCAAGCAGCGACCCGAGGGTCTTATTTGCGAAAGCGACTTTGGCTTTCAGCAAAACTTACGCTCGTCCAGGTCACCATCGCTTTCAAAAACCCTTTTGCAGTCCCTGAAGGAAGGGGAGGGGTGCACAAAACAGAAAGAAGTTCCACTATAGGCGAGCCGTACTACCACAAACACCTCCCCGTTCCAAACGCCTTGCACCCAGACGTGCTTCTCATCATCCTACGCTTGTGTACGAGAAGAGGAGGCGACATGAGAATGGCTCTCTTTAGGAATTTGGACACAAACAAGTAAACACAGTCCCAGAGAGTTCCCAAACCACTGGAATCCGTGGGAAATTTACACTCAGCTCATCCACCGCCGCGTCAAACGTCCACAGTGAGATCCTGACTCTGTCAGGAGGAGCTTTGCTATCGCTTTCAGCGGAAAATAAAGGATCTCACACAGCTCCTGCTATTTCCTTACTAAAAATCTCGGCACTTACCAGGCCATCACACGTGCTGAGCGCGGCCAGGCCTCCCGCCAGCGCCCGGCTCCGAACCTCCCCGATCATATGGCAGGAGTTGCGCGCGCGGGGCTGGATCTTGGCGCCGGCGATCCCCCCGTATCGCCTCTCGCTGACGAACCCCGGCGCCAGGAGGTTGCTGTTCAGGCTCAGGTTGAACCTCAGGGGTTGTCCTTTGTAACGCAGCTCGTAGAAGGCGAGGAACTCGCTCCCGGAGGAAGGAGACCTCCGGCGAAGGGCTCGGTGGGACAAGTCGTAGGAGAGGAACGATCCGCTCTCGTCGACCTTGATGGGATGGACCACGTCGCTGCTGGAGTACGGCGGGGCAGGCTCTGGGGAGAAAGCGGCTCAGCGGTTAGCTCTCGGGTTCATCACCTTCCCGCTCCCACCCCTTCCAACTCCTGAGGCAGCCCCGCGGGGTCAGGCACCCAAACACCAGTTGGACCTGGTAAC